CTAAATCTCTTGATGTATAGCCCACGGATTATTGCGCTTTTGTACTTTTAAAAGGCGAATTGTCCAAACGTCGACAGAAAAACCTGTCTAGTATTTAGAAAGCTATTCAAGAGGAATGGGATAAAATACCTTTTTCCGATACTACAAAAGGCTTTATTTATTTTCTTGGAAATGACGGTTTATAAAAATAGTGAAGAATAAGCAATATCAAACAGAACATTTAAAACAAAATTTGGTGCTATTCCGTTTTTTGTGTGTGTGATTATGGCAGAGCCTCGAGGGCTATAAGGAGAGAGATGCCTTCGTGGAGGATTTTCTATGGGAAACTGGCTCGTATACACGTTACACATGGGGAAAACTACGAAAACGCCCATGCAGCCAGTCCGTCCGCGGGATTCGTTCCTTGGACCGAACTGCCAGTGTTCACCGACTTTACCGCTCGGCCGCTGATTCCATTTTGAGGGCCGTGAGAAAATTGCAGCGAAAATGTATGCGCAAAAGCGCCAAATCTAGCAAACGCGCCTATTTAACAGCGCCAAATCTAGCGTACGCGCTGATTTCAGATTCCGTAAGCTTATATAGTTCTATATTTCTTAAGACGCCATTCCAATACTAGTTTAATTTTTAAATCCTTTTTTGATTTTAAATCCTTTTTTGATTTTAAATCCTTTTTTGATATAGTATGGATTTAACAATTTGGGAATTGACCGTGACGAAAAGTATGCAATAGAATTTGGGTAAAGTGCAGAATCACCCACTGCTTGACGCGTTTTTAAGAATTGCACATACTCTGTATCCATGTACACATTGACCTATTTTCATTTCCAACAAAAAATTCCAGAATTGCACAAAAATGGCACTGCGCACACCCTTGAGTTTATATATATACTCATTGACCTATTTTCAGTTAAGAAGTAAAAGAAAATTCACAAAAATCCAATTGTTTTTACCCTTGTAAAAAAAAACCCAAACAAATAAGTGGTCGATTCTGCACTTTAGCGAGAATTTTTTCAAAGAAAAGGCATCATTCATTATAGATCATTATGTTTGAACAACCAACGACATGAAACTATGCTTTAGCGATAACTCGGTAGCGAAATAGCGATGCAGGCATCCATTTAGTTATGTTTACCAATTTTTATGCAAATTATAATAATGATCCGAAATACACTCATGTCCATAAATTAAGGATAAATGCAAAATCAGGCAAAGGAAGAGTTAGAAGTAAAACAAATTTGACTTATTTGTAAAGCTTATTTATTAAACAAAAGGTAAAGAGCAAAAGAAGATGCTATATGTTTGATATCATTAAAAATATTAGCGATTTTTTCTCCCTGGAGCAAATTACAAAAAAAAAAAAAAAAAAAACTATTTACAATAACCAATATTACATGGTTTGTATGATTGTTAATACATTGTATGTATCCCAGACGATGCAATACAGTCCGTACAACGCCCAGGCATGCTGAGTATCAAATTATCGATCTGATCTTGGGGGATATTACACCACTCAAAAAGCAATGCTCTCCGAAGCTCCGGTAGACATGTAGGAGGAGTTGACGGGCTGCAACTCGTTGAACAAGCATGTCCCACACCTGCTCTACTGGATTCAAGTCCGGTGAGAATGCTGGCCAGTCCATACGGGTGATATCCTTCAATTGGAGGCATTCGCTTACGATTTTTGCACCATGAGGACGGGCGTTGTCATCCATAAACACAAATTGTGCGCCCATGGCGCCCCGAAACAAGTGTACACGTTGTCCCAGAATGACGTCCCGATAGATTTGGCTTGTCATGGTTCCAATTTGAACATGCAGGTCAGTTCTGGAACCCAGAATACTTCCACCCCAAACGAGCACTCCTGCACTACAGTAACGGTGTCGTTCAATGATGTTTTCTTGGTAGTAACGGGTACCTGGAGCTCTCCATATGAAAGTCCGGCGAGAATCAGACTGCAAGCTAAACCTAGACTCGTCGGAAAACATCACACAAGCCCACAGTTGCGGTGTCCACAATGCATGCTCTCTACTCCAGGCTAACCGCAGGCGACAGTGAGTTGCAGTAAGTGGAACGCATCTGACAGGTCTACGAGCATATACACCAATCTTCCCTAAGCGTCTGTACACGGTCTGCCTTGAAATTGTCGTACCAGTGGCTGAAGAGAGCTGACGAGACAGGTCTGAGGCTGTGCTCCGCCTGTTTCTTTTGGCAATAACTGCCAAATACCGGTCCTCATTCAGCGTTGTAACTCTGGGGCGACCTGTGCTGTAACGTCTATTTACATTACCATCATCTTGGAATCGTTGCGAAAGCCTGGAGATGACACTCTGAGCAATTCCAAATTCGTCTGATACTTCCAGTTGGGTACGCCCACATTCCAGACGGCCGATAATACTACCACATAAAAAATCATCCAAATGCGTCCTTTGTGTGATAACTATTCGGTTATTGCACTGAAATGCTTATAAAATGCCTGCGAACAATTTTACTTCTTTGCCTGTATTCCTTATATATCACTCTCTTACACTCTTGTCATTGTGACGTACCATCGGTGTCATCTGGTTACTTCCTGAAATTTGCATATGATTCTTGAAGATGTGTGTATTGATTTTACAGGTGATATATTTATTTTAGAGTTCGATTTCCGCATGACTCCGAATTGTCCTTAATTTATGGACATGAGTGTAGTTATTTACTCCTATGCTTCCCTTCAGTCATGTTTAGACTTTTTTATATAAATTATAATAATAAAAAAGTATTATATGAAATTAACCTTTCATCTAAATTAAAACATCAATCTTAGTTATTTACTATTATACTCCCTTTCTTGCGTTAAGGTTGCCGCAATTATTTTTGGCAGCACTGGCATCAACAATAGTTTGGCGATTTTTTACGGCCCTCAAAACCGAATAGTACCCAAAATTTTTAGGTAAAATAGGGTACTTTTCCGTTTTGCCGGCGCAAGCGATAAAGTCGCCAATAATGGTACAACCGATGCCAAACGGAATATTCTCGCTGGAAACCTTTTACGCCTCATTTTCAAAACAAGTCGCAGCTGTTTCTTATCAGATTGATTGTTTCTTTCAATACTGGTATATAATTACATAGAATTTTTATCAGATAGTTCAGTTTTATGTCTAAGGCCATTTTCGGTAATTATGCAATCAAGCGCTTACCCGAAGCCGAAAATATAGAAAAGGTAAAGTCAAGGGTTAAATTCATCCATTCTAATGAGAATGCATTAGCGAAGTAAAGCACTGCAGTTTTACATAATTTTTGAGTAAGCTATTCGTACGAATTGAAATATTTCTTGCATTTAAACTTGTGTTCCAAATTAAGATTTAACTTGAAATTAATGTAGATAATTACTGAGAGCATTAGATTTTTGTAGTGTAGTTTACGTGAGATGAGATCGCTTGGGGTCACGTGATATGAACCGGCGAATTAGGATGTTGAACCATGAAAGCATAGTAAATTCTTAAATTAATGTCTTTTTACAAATTTATTGTCTTTATTTATTGGCTTTTTATAAAATTTTAAGCGATATTAAAATGTTTATGCCTTCAAAATAAAAGAATTCTTAGAACTAACATTTTTTAAATATTTTTTTATGTGTATACTGTATGTTGTTTCGCCAATAAAGTCTGCTTGGCGAGATTTGCGCCCGCGAAACGGAAAAGTACCTAAAATAGTTTTGTAATTACAATGAAAACTGTCAAAAAAATGTGCGAAAAGCCTTTTGTTATATTAGCCTGCTTTCAATTGAGATTGCGCAAAAACTGCTTTAAAAGCTGTAAGGTAATATCAGGTTTTGAGCGGAAATTTGGGCACAATACCAATTTTTTAATTTTATTTATGCTAAGAAACATGCTAGCACACAGAGATCGCCAATTACGTACAACCTTTTGACACGTACCGCTAAAACGTTTGATTCCGTACTCATCGAAGTTCCGAAGTGGAGGATTGTCCTAAAATCTTATGCTCAGAACTGATGGAACTCGCACTGCTGAAGCAGAGAATTTTTCACTCAACTGACTGCATGAATTTTTGCCAGCATCGCCGAGTGTCTTTATTCGCATTCATTAACTACGCGTATAGGCTAACGTACCGCTAAAACGTTTGATTCCGTACTCATCGAAGTTCCGAAGTGGAGGATTGTCCTAAAATCTTATGCTCAGAACTGATGGAACTCGCACTGCTGAAGCAGAGAATTTTTCACTCAACTGACTGCATGAATTTTTGCCAGCATCGCCGAGTGTCTTTATTCGCATTCATTAACTACGCGTATAGGCGATATCATTTATTTACATGTCAGATATATTTTCAGAACTAATTTTTTGTTAAATTCTGTATTTCGTAAATTAGTTTTTCATAATTCGTAAGTTATTTCAGTTTATTACTTTCTGTTTAATCCCCAATCCTTTGTCCTCAATTCCTGACATGAATTTAGACAAATTCATTTCATAATTTCAATTAATGTTAATATACAGCCGATTAGATATAACATACACCTTGAGATGTTAGCGTAGTAGTAACGGAGGACGTGGGCACCATCCCTCTACCATTACGGTTAATCGGTTCTGCCCACGTCCGCCCTTATCTAGTATTTATTAATAAATCAAAGGTTTTTACATTGCCATATAGTGCCATATAAAAAAATAAATAAAATTAAAAATCTTAAAAGTAGTACTTTATAGTCCTTCATTAAGTGTATCTTTGTAAGTAATCCTTTATAAAATGTCGAAATTTGTCCTTAGTAAAAAACGTAGATGTTAGTATAGGCATTTTTCGAAAATTCTGAGAAATTACGAATATTTTTAAATAAGTGCGCAAATTCTCACCGAAAAGCCAGATAGAGTTCTAATGGCCCTGGTTATTCCTGGAATTTATTTTAAATTTCAGTTGCTTTCCATTGTCTAAGAGTCTGTTTTCATTCCCTTTTTTTACAGCAATATTATTTTAACTGTTCTGTAGTTTATAAAACTAATCTTTTACTTTAGGGTCCAAAGGTCAGTTCGATTCATCGAAAGATATAGAAGATGCAATGAACTTACTTCCGCCTCCTATGGCCGTGGCCGTGAAACCATTCCAGTCCGAATTACTAACTCTTGCAAAATCTGTAGCAGAAGTAAGAGAAAAACAAATTTTTATTGAACGCACTTCTTGCTATAAATAAAAATAAACATTGGGCAGTACTATTACTTCAAATAATCTTTTCAAAAATTACTGTGACAGCTAAACGTTTAGTATTTTTTTCAGCAATTATTTAAAAGCATTCCATGTGTTTCGAAGACATACTTGTACACGAATTTTCAAATTACCAGAGGTTTTCTGCAACATTGCAGACTTACTTAATTCTGGTGACACTTTCTTTGTGTCACAAATTATAATGGAACATGAACTGCAAGTGAAAGAAATCAGTTTGAGGTATTGCTAAATTGCCGCTAAAAAAATTTAAAGGATCCCCCTGTTTTTGCAATCCAATGACATCTACTGAATATGAATTTAGTGTCTCAAAGTAATGAAAAGATTTTTTCTGGGCTATAACATCATTGTTTTCATAATGCGTATGAAAACAATATCAAATTTCAAAATTAGGAATAAAATTAGGAAAATTAGGAAAATACGCGAAATAATAAAATACTGGATTGAAAATCCAGTATTTTATTATTTCGCGTCTCTTAACGTTAGGCTTAACGACGATGTAATTGCAGAAAGAATTGAAACTATACTTCAGCCTCTTGGCTCACCAGTGACGACAGAGCGGTAAAGTCATTGTAAACTTCGATCCATGTTTAAATCCTTGCGAACGGGCTGATTGCATGGAAGATTTCGTGGTGGTTCTCATGTATTAATGTAGATATGAGCCAATTTCACTTAACCCCTGAATCTACAATGACGGACATAGCCCGCATACGATGGTCGGGCCAAACCTAACTTTCACGGGCATAGCCCGCGTACGGTGATCGGGGCAGAAGTGAATATTACGTGGAATATTTGATACGCAATTACAGTCTGATGCAATAATTGTGGTAGACGCAAGTATTACAAAATGCTTATTTATACAAAATACAAAATTAGTAATCTGTAACGATATGATATATTTCAAAGCATTCTGGTACATGTAACGGAACTTTACACTTTTTACACTCGGGTTCTATGTGGATTTTGTTGTATTTGATCTGCATACTGATTCGTTTCGGTTATAATATTGTTCCAAAATATGTCATCAAATATTAGATTAAATATATCAATTCTCCTCTACTTCCTCCTAATTGACATAAGGCTTCCTCTCTTATGCATCAAAAATCTGGGACTATACTGCCATCGGTACTTTTCCGTTTCGCCGACGCAAATCTCGCCAAGCAGATTTTGTCGGCGACAGCATGCAGTATACACATAAAAAATGTTAACAAATGTTAGTTCTAAGAATTTTTTTTATTTTGAAGGCATAAACATTTTAATATGGTTTAAAATTTTGTAAAAAGTCAGTAAATAAAACCGATAAATTTGTAAAAAGACATTAAGAGTTTACTATGCTTTCAAGGTTCAACAACCTGATTCGCTGGTTCATATCCCGGGACTCCAAGTGATCTCATCTTACGTAAACTACGCTACAAAAATCTAATTCTCTCATTAATTATCTACATTCATTTCAAGTTAAATCTTAATTTGGAATACAAGATAAAATGGAAGAATTATTTCAATTCGTACGAATAGCTTACTCAGAAATTATGTAGTACTTTATTTCGCTAGTGCATTCTCATTAGAAATGATGAATTTATCCCTTGACTTTACCTTTTCTATAGTTTTGCCTTCGGGTGAGCGGTGTGATTGCATCCTAATTGACTTAAATACCGCGAATTGTCTTAGAGCATAAAATTTAAATATCTTGTAAAAATTCTATGTAATTGTATGCCAGTATTGAAAGAAACAATCTGATAAGAAATGGCTGCGACTTGTTTCGAAAATGAAGCGTAAAAAGTTACCAGCGAAAATATTCCGTTCGGCATCAGTTGTACCATTATTGGCAACTTTATCGTTTGCGCCGGCGAAACGGAAAAGTAGCCTACCATCGTATAGTCCCAGATTTTTGGACTATTCTTATTTCTTTCCAAAGCCAGAACTCTGGTAGTTGATTGTCATCGGATCTATCATCAGTAATTATTCGCCTACACTTTCTTCGAAAATTACATAATTCGTCATGTTTACGATTGCCCGGATTAGCGTGTTACACAAGTCGTGCAAATGTCCCGAACGCTGCGCGAGCTTGTATACAATTTCGTCCCAACATCTTCGAATTTAAATTAAAGGTTAAGGGGTTAAAACAACCTGCAAGAAGGTACTTCTCCCCAGAGAGAGAGAGAGAGATAACCTTCGAATGGCTTTGCCTTAATCAATTAACCTAACCTAATCTACCTCAGCATCTTGATTCACAAGAATCAAGCTTGGAGAGCAAATGATTATCTGGAAACTGATGAATCATACAAGCAAGCAACGAGTTCTTTTGGCGTGACTAAAAGTATTTGCTTTCGTGGAGGATTTTCTAAGGGAATTGGCTCGTATAACACTTTACACATGGCGAAACCTACAAAAATGCCTATGCAGCCAGCCCGTTCGTGGGATTCGAACCTCGGCGGAACTACCAGTGTTAAGCGACTTTACCTCTCGGTTGCTGATGGGCCTTTTTTAGGTCAAAATCCCTCATGTACAACTGCCAAAGCCGGCGACCTTATTCAGTGCATTCAAACAGAACAAAAAACCTGCAAAGGGTATGGTGTATTTAATTATGGCAATGCACACTAGGGCTATCTGCCTAAGGGAAGAGATGCCTTCGTGGAGGATTTTCTAAGGGAAACTGGCTCGTATACACATTACCATGGGGAAAACCATGGAAACACCCAAGCAGCCATCCCGTTCGCGGGATTCGAACCTCGAACCGAATTACCAGTGTTCAATGACTTTACCGCTCGTCCGCTGGTGGACCAACCTGCAAAGGGAGACTGAGTGCTAAATGAAACTGTACGAAATCGCCATTTTCCAGTACAGTTTGTATACATGTAGACTTAATTTTTCAACGATTGACGGATCTTATATCCGGAAGATCCTCCTCTTGGAGGATTTTCCTCCAAGAGGAGGAAGAAAGTGTCATGTGTTAATGATGATGTTTTGGTGATGTTAGTAATCTGTTAGTGTGTACGTAAGCTGTACACATCAACAACTTAAGCACAGCTATTCTCTTTATGGGACTGCAGGGTGCAGAAAGGTTGACAGATGAAATGTAGACATGGTGAAGGAAATACTTAGAGTTTTGTAACTGCTTTTCAGGCGAATATGTTCAACTTTAATAATGGACCTCAGGCGATGTGTAACAACGTAAAACGTTGCATAATGAATTTTTTTGCATTAACTCAGAAAACTAGAGAAAAAAATATATATGTTTCATTTTCAGGTAAACCTGGTGTTTCTCATTGTAAAGTACAACTAATTACAGTCCAAAACGGGGCGTTACAAATCGCGAAAAATTTCTGAATGAAAAAGTTGCGCGTTGTTTTACAAGGCACTGAAATCCCGTAAGCCAAACATGATTTTCTTTTAAATCTAAGAACCTATTCGCTGTGGGTGTTAAATACCTTATAAAACACTGACTGGGTATCTTACCACGACAGTAGCACTCTAAAAACTTAAGTCAGTGGCGCAATAGCCCTAGTGGCCCAAGGCCAGCAGTGCCTCGAAATCTGCTTTCCTGCCTGTAGGCGCCGAGGCGCGTAAGTATATGCCTTGAACAAGCGGTCAGCTTGGTCGCAGGACCGCCCAGTGTTTAGTCCTGAAGCGAACTTGGTACTCATTTTATCGACACAAGGGATGAAAGGCTGAGTCGACTTTACCCAGCTCGGGGATCGAACCCGGGACCTGTGGTGCTGCTGCTATAGCCACTGCGCCACCGGGACTAGTAGCACTCTGGGGGAACAATAATTACGAACCTGGCGGTTCCAGAACCCTAACGGAAGATCGTTTTATACGGTTGGACCATGGAGGTAAGAATTTCTACCTCCATGTATTGGACCAAAGGGGAATTGGCTTTAAATCTCCAATCTGGTGGTATCGGTAGCGGGCATGGACCCGAATTCCCACGGTAGAATTGCTAGAACGCCCCAACCCGCCTGATCACAAAGTGATCTTATAGTCCAAAACGGGGCGTTTCATTCACTACACAAGCGAAGGCAGCCAGCGACCCAGAGAGTCCCCCAACAAAAGTTAAAACGCGAGATTAATAAAAAAGAACAACTAACATTTAATTTTAATTTAGATTTCTTTTTAATGCATTTTATAAATCAAAGAAAGAAAACTACAAGAAGTTTTGATAAGTTGAATAAAAAAAGTTTTTTTTTACATTCATAAAATAAAACTAAATTCTTCACGGGTAAATAAAACGCTGATTGCATTCCCCCACATGAAACTATGAAATTCCCCCTCCCGAGAAGCGAACTCCTCCTTGGCTGAGAATTCCTAATACATACTTTTTGAAAAAAAATGTAGGTCAGTTACAAATCGTAACTGCTAAATTATCAGATTTTAGCTGTTTAACCTATTAAGTTACAAATCGTAACTTGTTTAGTATGTTAATGTAGATTCGTTACTAACTGTAAGCAACTTAGCTAATAATGCTGTTTCTTCCCAAATTATTTTAATTTCTTTTACCTTCAAATGATCTTCCGATAGCTACAGAAGAATTCTTAAAATGATGGCATTATCCAAGAAAGTAACACGGCAGCCTTTCCCAATTATCAGTCACTATTGAAGCACAATAGTGACTGATCGTCTAGCAATAGTGAAAGAGGTACATGAAGCAAAAAAAGGGCTGTGAATCACTGCTATACAGGATTCTACTCATCTAAAAATATTAAGTAATAAAAACAGGAACTGCTAATTTGGTACAGGTAATAAAAAACATTTTAACTTTTGAGTTTGTAATATTTTCAGAAAGTATATTTCGCAATTCTTCGCACCAAAAGAGTACCCAAATTTCTCAGGTGATTGAAAGTAAAAACAATATAAATAACTAAATAATTAATATAAATTACAAAGATGTCATCGAGTTTTGTTATAATGCAATTATAAACAATA